AATCAAATATTGTTTGATGTATACAGTATATTGATAGCAGCTAGGTTACTCTGGGCCCAAAAATGGAAAAGTGAAGACATGCCTACAATGGAGGAGCTCCTGAAGAAGCTGTTGGACATTATAGGACTAGATACATTATCAGAAGTGCTACGAGATCAACCAAAAGACTATGCAAAACAAAGTTGGAACTTAATACATGCTTGGGTCCAGGGTCAGACTTGAAGATAGGGCAAAATGATTGATGGGCTTTGTCTTTTTTAGTTTTTCTTTTTCTTTTTTACAGTGCTCTCTGGAGTTTGGGAAAGCTGGAATGTAATGATGTCTGAATCCCTGTCCTCAAAGGGGGGAGGGTTTGGGGTATCTGTACTGCATTTTAGATATGTGTTTGTAGTTGAAATAAAATTATTTTAAAAAAAGAAAAAAGAATCGGATAAAGTATATGAAGACATTAATGAGACACCTCCACTTTGTATGGGTTCATCCCTTCTCTTCTCAAGTTAATTAAAAGCCATGGTCTAAACCACTGGTTCTCAACCTTGGCTTACTCAGGAGTTGTGGACTGCAACTCCCAGAAGCCTTCACCACCAACTGTGCTGGCTGGGGTTTCTGGGAGTTGCAGTTCAAAAACATCCGAGTAACAAAGGTTGGGAACCTAGGGTCTAAACCATCCTCTGTACTTCAGATTTCTCAAAGAGTCGAGAACTTATACAAGACCCAAGGCGAAAATACCGAATTTCTTTCTAAACATCCACCTCCCAACTTTGTAATTGTGGATGCGACACAAAACCGAGCTCGCAATTGCTCTAATGCTACGCCCAACCATAAGGAGGGCAGGAAACTCAACATCTTTGGCCGCAGAGTCTACTCTCTGGCATCCTTCACTCTCCACACTGCCAACTATCTGGGAGCCATGGGAGCTTATCACAGATATCTATGGAATAAGGCTGGAGATTATAAGTCCCGCAGCCTCGCTTTTCATCAAGAAGCCATGGCGCTAGCACGACGAGCACATCACAGCACACCATGTAATCAAGGTCGCATCAAGACACATGGCTACAGCTGTGGCCCTCTGGAAACGTACTTGGCTCTACTCTGGTCACATCTCTGATGACTCTCAGATGCTTATTGAAAACTTACATTTTGTTGGTTTCAGCCTATTTGATGGAAAAAAAGATGAAATTTTAGATAACCTACAAAAGATGAGAAATAATCAGCCATACTACAAACCCCAGAGATATCAATGGTGCCGCCCATAACCCTTTCATCAATATAAATCTTTCCCAGAGAAACAATGGTACTTAACCTCAATCTTCTTCGTTCCAACCTCGATAGGCCACACAACGACAACGTCCTAGACAATCCTTTAGACTCCCTGATAAGAAAATAAAGCAGAATCTTTGACTCCCCATCACCCAGATCCACTCACTTCACCTTCACTGTTTACCACCACCCACCTAGCAGCCCACTTTCGATCTTGGGCATCCATCACCACTGATTCTTGTGTCCTGTCTATTATATCCACCAGTTTGCAATAGAGTTTGCCTTCTTACCACCGCCAAGAATCATTCCAACTATATCATCAAACACCCTAGATCACTCCTCCCAAAAGACGCCATATCATCGGTCACTCCACAACACGACGATCCAGGTTTTTTCTCCCACTACTTTATGGTCCCAAAATGAGATGGAGGTCTTTGTTCCATTCTTGACTTCTGAGACCTCAATTACTATATTTTTCAAAGGCGTTTTCGCATGGTGATTTCTTGCAGTATTCTTCCAATACTGCAAGAATGCAACTGGTTTGCTGTCATCGACCTAGCCGATGCCTACTTTCATATTACCATCAGACAACGGCAAATTCCTCCAATTTTGTCTTGGACAAACCACTTACAAATTCAAAGCCCTTCCATTCGGACTTTCCACTGCCCCATGGGTATTTACAAATTGCATGGCTCCTGTAGCAGCTCATCTCCTCACTCTAGGAATCTTGGTTTTCCCGTACATTGATGATTGGTTGCTAGTAGCCCCATCGCATTCTCAGGCTCTACATGACGTAAACCTCACTCATTCTCTCTTAGCGGATCTCAACGTCAGGGTCAACATGGACAAATCCATCCTAATTCCCTCAGAAAGAGTCACATAGGCGCCATTCTTAACTCATGGAAGGCATGAGTTTTCCTGCATCAAGAGCGAGCCACAAAGATACACTCTCTTGTCCAAGATTTCCAACCTTACGCGCTCGTAACTGCCCATCAAGCTCAATGTCTTCTCGGCCTCATCACCTCTACCACATTGGTCATACAGCACGCTGGATTGAAAATGCACTCCCTTCAAGCCTGGTACCTCTCCCTCTTTGACCCCATGTCCAACCCACCTACCAAAATTCTATAGGTCACCCCCGAACTCGCAGCCCAGCTTTTGTGGTGGACCACTCTTGTCAATCTCTTCATTTGGCAGACCCTTTGCACCTCTTCAACTGACAGTTCAAATTACCACCACATTGCTGGGGCCTACACATTCACGCCACTTAGTCTCGTTACGAGAAAACTCTCCATATCAACAATCTTGAGTTACTTACTATCTTCAAAGCTTTCCGCACTTTCAAGCCTTTCATCATCGGCACTGCTGTGCAGGTGACTACAGACAATACCACAGCACTCTATTAAATCAACAAACAGGGAGGAACTCACTCCCTTCCTCTCCTGTACCTTGCTGTTCAACTATCAACCATGATATCTTCCCTGTAGTGGTCCATACTTCCACTTAGCACAACCAGCTGGTGGATACTCTCAGCAGGCTTCGCTCTCAGATGCACGAGTGTACATTCGGCGACTCCATATTCCTCCAGCTCTGCAACCAGTGGGGATATCCCAAAATAAGCACATTTGCCACAGCACACAGCACCAAATGCGCCCTGTACTTCTCCAGGGCAGGCACCAGGCCGGGCTCCCTCGGCGATGCCCTGATGACAAGGTGGACCTCACACTTGCTTTACCTCTTCCTTCCAATTCCTCTTATTTATTGATTGATGGAGTGATTGATTTGATTTGATTTGTATCCCGCCCATCTGGTCTATGCAACCTTCTACTATGGACCATTGTCAAATTCCGCGAAGATCATTCAAATGCCATCCTTATCGCCCCGTGGTGGCCAAGACAACCCTGGTTCACCATGCTCTGCTCGATATCCTCTGAGGTCATCCATCTCCCCCCAATCCCTCACCTCATTTAGCATCAGGACGAACCTTCCATCCCAACCTCCAGTCTCTTCACCTCACAGCCTGGAGGATCCATCCTCTGTAAATTTCATTTTAGCTCATGCTCGGAAACCTGTCACCAAGCAGCTTTATGTGTATAAGAGGTCTGTCTTTCAAAACTTTGCCTGTCAGTGGGATCTACCTACTACACCAACTACTCTCCAGGCATTACTTGCTTTCCTTTCTCATCTCTTCAATCGACACCTTTCCTTATCTATGCTTAAAGTATACATCTCAGCAATTGTGGCATATCAGCCAAAAAGACTCTGCTGCTGCCTTATTCTTCAGACATCCTACTCTAAAACAATTCCTACGAGGCGTATCCAACCTGCGACCAGCCAGGCCTTTTCCACCACCACAGTGGTCCTTATACACTGTCCTACGACGCCTCACTCTACCACCCTTTGAGCCTCTTGCAACTTCATCTGAACGCCTCCAGCTGTTACTTCTGCCCATAGAGTGTCTGAACCTGCGGCTCTGTGAGTTGACCTTCTGTTTCTCCAGTTCCACCCAAACAAGATTATGCTCTATCCTGACGTCTTCTTTCTCCCAAAGATTGTCTCTGATTTTCATATCCGTCAGCCTGTCATTTTACCTACCTTCTTCCCATTGCCACAGACATCAAGCGTTCTCTCCATCTCTTGGATGTTAGGAGAGCTTTAGCATTCTGTGTCTCCAGAACGGCTTCCTTTTGTAAGTTTAAGAGACTGTTTGTTTCCGCACATTTACCACACAGGGGGTCGTATGTGATGGATTGTGACAACCATACGCCTTACTTACCAATTCGCTAAAAAGCCTTTGCCTGCTGATGTTAAAGCACATTCCACTAGAGCAGTGGCTACTTCCATGCCATTTCTCAAAAGCATATCTATTCATGACATATGCAAAGCTGCTACCTGATCCACTTTGTTGACCTTTGCATCTCAATACCACTTGGATGTCAGCACCAAGTTGGATGCGGTCTTTGGATGAGCGGTTTTGTCTTCTGTTCTTCTGTGATGTCCCTCCTCCTGGCAGGTAAGCTTGTTAATCACCCATTAGTGTGCATTCATAGAGACCACAAAGAAGAAAGAGAGGTTACTTACCTGTAACTCTGGTTCTTCGAGTGATCATCTGTGAATTCACACTTCCTGCCTGTCCTCCCCTCTGTCTGTCACGTTTGTTTCATTTGATAGAGCGGCGGGCTGTTTGGGAACTGAGGCAATCGCCCAGATGGGCGGACCACATATACTAGGGCGGTGGTCCTGGCAAACGCATGTTTGACCTCTGCGCAAGCACAGATTAACCCATTAGTGTGAATTCACAGATGACCACTTGAAGAAACAGAGTTACAGGTAAGTAACCTCTCTTTTTGGATTATCCCACATATGGAAGAGATATGCTAACACTTAGTTTGGATAGTCTTGATTGGTGTGCTCTAAAGTCCAGCCTTTCTATAGGTTAACATTGAGTTCACCACATTCATAACAGCGAAGCTTCAATTTTTGGGATATGTTCCCCATCTTGCTTATTTAAAGTTAAACTGACATTCCTATTTTGCTAAAAGTTGGTAGCATTACAGGAAATTTGACTATACTGGCAGTGAGAAGACAAGGCTTAGGGCAAATGCAATTCAAAGAATCGCTCACCCCTGTTTTAAAACAATTAAGTATTCTGGGAATACTAGCGCTATTTTAAAGTTTTGCTTTAGTCCAATGTTTGTTACAAAAACATGCATAATAATTAGATTTTTCTTTGAAAACAGCTCTCCAGAATTAAAGGGGATATAGGGTGTTACACAGATGAAAATGCTGCTCCGCTAGTTCACTGTGTTCGCCTCCTGTCTGCCTCTTTTCTGCTTACAGGGGAGAAAGGTGGTAAGTTGAAGAAAATTGGGCATTGTGTAAAAATTAATCATTTTCTTTTTTCTCTTTTATTTAAACCAGTGAACAGCTTGTTGTTTCATTTTATTGTGTTGTTTAAATTCTAAATTGCAGGGAATTTAATATATCTAAGACAGAACAGCTGCCCTCCAAATATTTTTGGAGTGCAGTTCCCATAATCCCTCACATTGTTCAAGTAGGTAGACTGATGGGAGTTGCTAGCCACAACAACCCATATGTACCATAAGAACATACTGTAGGTCAGGTTGCAGCTCTACACTTGATTGCCTAGGAATAGGTCTTACAGAGTTCAGTGTAGCTTCATTTGGAGTAGATATACATGCCCCGTTAAATAACATTTCAGCTAAGTTTGATGCCAAATTATGCCGTTGCTGGAGTATAAAGCATAGGTTGCTGTTGTTACTGTATATAAAATTATGCATGGAATGGGAAAAGTGGATAGTGAAAAACTTGTACAGTGGTGCCTCGCATTACGAGCGCTTTGTTTGATGACGAAATCGCACCACGATGAAGATTTTGCGATCGCAAAAGCGTGAAATCGCACCACGATGAAGATCCCTATGGGATGATCGGTCCCCTGTTTTGCTAACTGATTATTGCAAAGTGATGAGTTTTGGCCGGCTGATCAGCAGTTTCAAAATGGCCGCCGGGTGAAAAACATGGCTGCCCGCTGTTTTCTGGCACGGATTCCTCGCTGCACAGGCAGCGAAAATGGCCGCGCTATGGAGAATCTTCGCTGGACGGTGAGTTTTAAGCCCCTAGGAATGCATTAATTGGGTTTTAATGCATTTCTGTGGGCTTTTTAAAATCACATGACGACGTTTTCGTTCGACAGCGATTTTTTTGGAACGAATTAACGTCGTCATGCGAGGCACCACTGTATTCCTTTTGCGATACAGCTAAAAATGTTTGTCTTTTAGTTATCAACTAAAACTGAGATTCAGGAAAGATAAAAAGAGTACTTCTTCACACAATGCTGGGACTGCAAAAAAACCCCCAACAAAAAACAAAACAACACTGACCCTCAATACCCCCCCAACAAAACAAAAGCCACCCAAAACTTTTTTTAAAAGTAGCACCTTACTGGAACAGATCAGCCAAGCCTCCTCAGCCTCCCGGGGACCACCTTTTCTTCCCTGCTTTTTGAAGGGGGGGGAGAGAAGGAACTGACCCTCCAATGTGTGCCAGCGTGCAGGTGTCCCCCACTCCCCCTTCCCTGCCAGCCTGCAGCCGTCGAGGCGCACCTTCCTCCATGTCCAAACAAATCCCTGCACAGTTCCGGAGTGGAGACGGGGTGGGGGGTCCTTTTCCAGAGGTGGCTGGGTCTCCTCCTCCTGATGCTCCCCTCAGCCCGTCCCATCACTCTCTTAATGGGGGGCAGGAGGAGGAAGAGGAGGGAGGGCTAATGAAGACCTGGTGGCTTGTGCCAGGCGTGCCTGGCGCAGCTTGTTGGCAACTACCAGAGGCAACCGGGGCACCCAGCCCACCTTTCCAGGCCAGGCCCAGGGAGCTTTTAAATCCAGGACACAGATCCTGCCTTGCACCACCTCAGGAGTAGCAGTAGTCGTAGTAGCAGTAGGGGTAGAGGGGGTGGCGGTGTTGTGCCCGAGGAGCTGTTGGTGCCCTGGATGCTGCCACTGCCACCGCCACCCCCTCCCGCAGCAGCAGGGATGCCTTGCCAAGCTGCGCCCTTGGCCACCCGCCGTGTCTGCCTGTGTGGCCTCTTGCCCAGCCAAGGTCCAGAGAGGCCAGCGCTACCAGCCTCCGGCCACTCCAAGGTCCAGAGAGGCCAGCACTACCAACTTCCAGCCCACCTCCAAGCTCCGAAAGGGGCCCCCAGTTGCCGTTGCCACCTCTCCCTGTCCTACCCAGGCTCTCTCCCGGAAGGGCCAGCATGGCACGGCCTGTGGGTGGAAGGACTGCCCGGGGAGAGTGGAGGGGGGAGGCGACTGCGCTGAATGGGAGGTGGGCGCAGGATCGGGCTGGCATGCAGGGATTCCCGCTCGCCTCCTCTTCCCGCTCTGCCAGGGGTCCCAGGGCAACGGGGCGGGGTGCACCGGGCTCCTCTTCCCAGGGATGGTGACACAGGTGGGAACCTAAGGATGCCTTCCGCACCTGTGTCGCTCGCTTGCCCATCCATCCGCCCATCGGTCCTTCCTTCTTCGGGGCAGTGGCTGCCCAGCCTCACTTCGGCATGGGTGGGTGGCCGTGTCGCCACCACAAGGGTGGGAGCGAGGCTTCGACGGGAAGCCCCAGAAGGCGCCGTCTGCCTATCGGTCCATCCTTCCTTCTTCAGGGCAGTGGCGGCCCAGCCTCACTTCGGTGTGGGTGGGTGGCTGCGCCACTACCACAAGGGTGGGAGTGAAGCTCCAACGGGAGGCCCCAGAAGGCGGAAGTTCTGAGGACGAGCATCAGCGTCCTATGCGATCCAGCCCGGACCACGTCTTCCCGGGAAGGGTTGGCCAGGCAGGAAGCAGTAGGAATGCTGGTGCACGCTCCTGCCCATCCGCTTGCCCTGGGTGGGGTGGTGCTGAGCCCCATGGCTGGCCGTTGGCACTTCCCATTCAGGCTGCCCTACAAGGGGCATTGGGGGAACGGTTACCACAAGCAAGTGAGACACGCCCTCCTATGAGGGTGACACGCCCCCCTGAGTGGGGGGCAGAGATCCGTGTCCGCAGCCCAGTTCCAGCAAGCCAGCGGACGTGCAGTGGGCCGTGGACCGGGGGTTGATGACCCCTGCTCTAGGTTGCACAGTTGCACACACAATTCTGCCCTTTTCCACACAGCCTTCCTCCTCCTCCATACACCGACAGTGATCGTTTTCAGTCCCTTTGGTTACAATTGTGATGGAATCCTGCATGGGGGGGAAATCAAGTGGGCACGGGGGGGAACGTTGCATACAAGAGGGGCAGAGCCCCATCTCAGTGGGGCTGGAAATTAGAGGTAACATTGATTGTAACCTATGGCAAGTTTATTTTAATGTGCTTAGGTTGTGAAGTGAATGTCCATGCTGATAATATCATTGGCATGTTCTGGAGCCAAGAGCCATGAGAAAACCTGTAGGGTGATCAGGGGGAATTGGATGCAAGACTTGACTGGGGCAGGATTGCTTACTTTCTATTATGCAGGCTCTATTCTTTGCTAAGATGCATGAAATCTGGCAGAATGTGAAAACATCTTAGGTATACAGTGAGACTAAGAAGAGACCTAGTGAAGCCCTTGTCTTGGCATTGGACAGACACCTGCATAATACTTGGATTGTCAATGGAATATTTTCTGGAGCAGAATTCCTAATTTTGCTCATTGCTAGTTCTGGCATGGGTTCTTATTTACTCTGTTTAATTCTAAAGTGGAAATACTGTTTCTGATATGTGTTTATTAGTTTTCATACTACTCATATTTCATTACAACATTTTTTGTTATTTAGGTTGAAAGTATTAAATTAACTATTGACTAAACATGTGGATGTTTGTGTTATATAATGAAATGAATTGTACTTTATTACTTTTATCTTTTTTATTTAGTCTTAGTCCCCGATAAAGATGTAAGAGTAAGTGTAAAAGCTTTAGCTATAAGCTGTGTAGGAGCAGCTGTTGCACTCCATCCTGAAGCTTTCTTCAGCAGACTGTATAAAATGTCTTGTGAAGTCACCAAAGAAGAGTGTGGTATGTTGAGCTTTACATTGCTTTCTTGTTTCTTTTGTGAACAACTTGTTTTTAGACATTTTTCATTACTTCAGAAATTACCACATAGCTTAGCCAGCTATCTGTTCATACCATGTTTCCCCAAAACTAAGACAGGGTCTTATATTAATTTTTGCTCCAAAAAACACATTAGGCTTTATTTTCGGGGGATGTTTTATTTTACTGTCATGTCATCTTCTTCTGGTTGCTGCATAATGGTGGACGGTGGGGTTTCACTTAACTAGGGCTTTTTTGGGGGGTAGGGCTTATATTACGAGCATCCTGAAAAATCATATTAGGGCTTATTTTCAGATTAGGTCTTATTTCCGGGGAAACAGGGTAGTTAAAGTGAAACTGTCAGTTTTTGCCCATTCTTCTCACTTCATAGTAAGAGAAGGAACATAATGTTCTTCAGTATCTAGAAGGATTTTTCTTCTTCACCACACATAAAGTTAGCCTCTTCTATGTATTGTATGTTTCTCTTGATGTAAAATCATGAATTCGTGATTTCCTGTTCAACTGTGGCTCAGAATGAAGTTCCTTACAGCCTTTTTTGCTTCCTTGCAACATCCAATGAAGGATAGGATAACATATTAAGTATAATGGCAGCTGATTCCTTTTTCTCCCTTAGCAACAGAACAGTATAGGTTTTCCCCAGCAGAATGGAGTTATTACTGCTTCATGCTCAGTCCCAACTGTGTGAGCTGTGTGTTGTATGGAGCTATATACAGTGGTGCCTCGCAAGACTGGCACTCCGTTTAACGATGAATCCGCATTTACGGCGAGTTTTTTGCGATAGCAAAATGACGTTTTGAATGGGGCGCGAGTTTTTTGCAATAGCAAAAAGACGTTTTGAATGGGGGAATTTCGCTGTGCAATGATAGGTTCCCTGTTTCGGGAACCGATTTTCGCTTCCCAGCAATCAAAACAGCTGATCATTGGGGTTTCAAAATGACCGCCGGGTGCTCAAAATGGCTCCCCGCTGTGTTTAGGAGCCATTTTTCGCTGCACAGGCACCCGAAAATGGCCGCTCCTATGGAGGATCTTCGCTGGACGGTGAGTTCTTAGCCGATTGGAACACATTAACCAGGTTTTAATGCGTTTCAATGGCTTTTTTATTTTCGCTTTACGACGTTTTCGTTCTACAGCGTTTTCACTGGAACTAATTAATGTCGTAATGTGAGGCACCACTGTACTATAAATGTTTGACCTTTTCCCAGATTCACTGGAATTTCCATTCCAGTGTTCTCCAAGTGTTAAATTAATAAAGTTATATTTTATATTTTGGTTTTATTGTAACTAAGAAGCATATGCATAGATTTATACCTACTTTTCTGAGTTGCTCTTAAACATATGAATGTAGCTTTCATATAGTTGATTTTCATAGACACTGTCAGAACATCAAGAAGGTTTATAATCAAACTTTTTTCTGTGTTTTTAACTTCTTGTTCTAGAAGAGGAATATGTAAAGGATATTTTGAATTATATTGACCACGGAGATCCCCAGATTAGAGGAGCAACAGCCATTTTATGTGGAACAATAATTTATTCTATTCTCAGTAAATCTCGTTTTGATGTGGAAAATTGGCTAGCATGTATAAGAGTTTCAACAGGTAATGGTGGGATTAATTTGCGAATATCTCTTTTGACTCATAATACTTTTAGTTGTTTTATTGTTTTTGTTTTCCTTATTCCTAGGAAATAAATTTTCATTGGTAGATTGTATACCATTGTTACAAAAATCTCTGCAAGATGAATCGTCCGTTACATGCAAGCTGGCTTGTACAGCTGTGAGGGTAAGCAGAAACATCTCAAATACAATATATTGAAAAGTAGAACAGGTAGCTTTATGGTGTTACAGATATAGGGGTACAGAAATATAGTATAGTAGCTAGAGCCCAAGGAAAAGACAACTGTGCTAGGAAAAGAGGAGGACTGAAAATTTGAAGATTGACTCAGAAAAAGAAACAATAGCCTAGGGTTTGCAAGAACTGAATAGGGATGTTAACCATAGGATTTTCTGGAGATTATTAATGCATAGGGTCACAACTGAGCAGAAATAACTCAAAAATGCAGCAAACAGCCAATAGTGGCAATATGTCTATAAAAACACTGTTTAATACTGGGCTGGGAGGCAATTAATCTAAATTATGAGTAAACCTCCTCCTATAATGCTGGAGAGATTAATACAACTGGGTAGTACTGTGGTTGTGAACAATATTTTTTTCTGTATGGTTCAAGAAGATTTTTAATGTTTTCACAAATATTGCATTCCCGGATACTTATTATAAGAGGTTAGGAACTTAAGCAGGCTATTACCATCTTCATCTTCTCCAGTCCATCTGTTTCTTTTTTCTCATTTGACATTTGAACATTCTGTATACAGTGGTGCCCCGTATAGCGAGGTTAATCCGTTCCGGATTAACCTTCGCTATATGAAATCTTCGCTAAGCGGGAAGTAAAAAGCCATTGGAACGCATTAAACTTCATTTAATGCGTTCCAAATCGGCCCTAAACTTCCCACTTAGAGAAGTTTCCTGGCCCCGGGCAGCCATTTTCGCGCCCTCCCCTCACTTGCCGAGGGCGCGAAAACGCCGCGGGGGGCCATTTCGGGTCGTTTTGAAGCCGCAGAACAGGGGATCGCTATATGGATTCGTCGTTGTACGGTGCACTCGCTAAGCGAGGCACCACTGTATGTATATATTTTCTTTATTATTTTCTCATCAGTGTAAATCCACAGTTTATCTACCTGGACTTCACCTTCAAAAAAGCCCAAATTTCTATCTTTTCTATATCTTGATTCTAATTTATTCAATGACCACCAATCTGTTGCCACCCCTAGTTCCTCTAATTCTTGCTTACTTTTTATATTTTGTTCTCTGTTAAGTAATTCTTTGCTTTGGATGATCGTGGAAATGAAAGGTATCAAGGAGAAAACAATAGAAGGCAAGGAAATTAGCAGGAGGAAAAAAAATGATGATTACTGAGAAAATCTCAAGTTGCTAGTAGTAGTAGTAGTAATAGTAACAGTAACAGTAATAGTAATAGTAATAATAATAGTGTGCTTTCAAGTACATTCTGACTCATGATGACCCTTTTCAGGGTTTTCTAGATGTAGAGTACTCAGAAGTAGTTTAACCATTCTCTTCTTCGGGGGCATCCTGGAACTGTGCAGCCCGCCGAAGACCACATAGACTGATTTTTCTGAGATGCATAGTGGGGGATAGAATTTCCAACCTCTGGCTCTAAAGCCTAATTTACTGCGCTATCCAGTTAGCTTGCAAATCTGTATGCTTCCTCATATTTATGGAGTATTCCAAGTATATATCTCATCTTCGCTTGTTCCTGTTCACTTCCATATTGCTAGCCACAGTATCATCTGAGTTTGCTATTAAAGTTAATGGCACCATTTGCTGGAGTTCTGTTTTTGCAAATATGCATGATTGCTAGTAAGGGGATTTGTTGAGCTGCTGTGTTGGAAGCTTGTAGCTTTAAGTGTATCTCTGCATGTGCACATTCTATTGTTTCTATTGTGATAGCCATTATATGTAGACAAAGAGATCAGAAGGAGACCTTGTAAGAGATCGGACTAGCCCCCATGCTCAGTGCTGAAGAACTAGAACTAAAACATCCCTAGCACAAAGCTGTCTAGGTTTTACTTTGAAGACCTCTATCAGGAGAAGGTCTGCCACCCTTTGGGATAATCTCTAGTATTTTAGAATTGCTCTTGTCATTGATTATCCTTCTGTTTAATCAGAATTTTCTGTTCTGTTATTAAGCCCCTGAGATTTAATAGGGAATCAGAGTTTAAATCCTTTCCTATTTAATAAGCTTTTAATTTAGTGGATGGTGATGAAGAAGATGACATTGACACATCAGATTGATTTTCATGAGTGTCCTTTTTTGGGGGGGAATCCTGTAGAAGTATTTCTAATTGCTCCATGTAGCCAAAGTTATAAATAACTTAGCTTGATTAGCTATATTTTATTTCATTAATATATTTATATTACATAAATGTTCCAAATAAAAATACTCTGCAAATACTAAATCAATAAGCTTTTGAATCTACATGTTATAAAATGCTAATTATATTTAGAAAAACATTAAATTTCTCTTTTTTCTCTTTAGCATTGCATCACAAGCTTGTGCAATAGCAACTATAGTGCCTTAGGTTTAAAATTAATGGTTGACCTCCTTACATTAAGGAATAGCTCCTATTGGCTAGTTAGAACTGAGCTGCTGGAAACCCTTGCTGAAATAGATTTTCGGTAAGTGTTCTCATTGTATAGTTTCATTCCTACTCTTAAATCATTTTTTCTTTTAAAAATATTTGTCATTGCTAATTTTGGTTTGCTGGGTTTTAACAAGAACTCATCATATATACCTATCTTTCTGTTTAGGCTAATTAACTTTTTGGAAGGAGGGGCCAACAACTTACACAGAGGTTCTCATCATTATACTGGAGTGAGTAATTGTTCTGTTTGGCCCTTTGCTTTATATTTGCTATAACTGAAGAATTCACAGAAAGTAGATATATTGATTCCTGTTAAAATAAACAAAAATAAAAAACCACGGGGGGGAAAAACATGTTAAAAAAATAGGACCCACTAAGGGGAAAAAAAAACAAAAACAAAAAGGGGGGGAGGCAGTCTTCAAATATCTGATAATATCCAGTAGTCTCTTCCAGTCAAAATATCTTCTCTTTCAAACTACCAATCTTTGTAGGCCTACTTGCTTGTCCCTTGGTCACTTTCATCTTCTTGTCAGAGCCCCCACGCAATCAGCAGATCTTTGCCTTCTTCAAAAGAGTTGATTTTGTTAAGGACTCTGTCCTTCCATATTTTTAAAAAGACCCCAGTTGTATCTCCTGTCATTCTTAGTTAAGATTAAAGTGATGGGCTTCATCATTCTCCTTCACTGTATGGATACATTGCTTAAATCCTGGTAGATCTGAACTGGATTCAATCTATAGACTAGCAGTTCTGGCTTTTCTTTAATAACCGTAAGAAACTGTTCTTTCTTGACATACCGTATTTTTCGCACCATAAGACGCACTTTTCCCCCACAAAACAGGGGGGTGGAAAGTCTGTGCGTCTTATGGAGCGAAGAAAACAGATTATATTTCCCTGTTTTCTTCTCCTAAAAAATTGGTGCGTCTTATGGAAAGGGGCGTCTTATGGAGCGAAAAATACGGTAGTTGAAAAATTTCAGTATTATAGGTCTTGATCTCTTGCTTCTGGGGTTCCCAACAAAATGAATTATTTCAGTATCTTCCTCAGCCAAATGTTGGGACTAGCAGGATGCTCTAAGGTGAAGGACATGATACATTTTCTAACAGAATGCCCTGTGCATGCAGATTTGAGGGATCACTATCTTAAATCCTTAACAGCTGGGATCAAGAAAAAACTCCCTTTCTACACAGTTTATTTCTTTTAGCTGGCAGAGAATACTGTATATCTTTTAGCAGTGGTCCATAACCTTTTCCGAACCACGAACCAGTTGGGGGGCGGGGGCTGTGCAAGAGGGTGCACACTAGCAGGTGGACGGGGCACATGCTCGCACATGTGCAGGGGTGGGGATGCACTTGTGCAGGTGGACGGGGCACTAGCTTGCAAATGAGCAGGGGGCGCTCGAGAGCATGCGTGGGTGGGACACCCATGTGTGGGGGGTGGATGCGCGGGGGAGGAGTGCATGCGGGGGGGCAGGAGATGTGTTTCTGCAGCCCGGTCCTGCCAAATGTAGATTTAACTTGTTCCATTTGAAAGAGATTTAGGGATGTTATGCGGATGAACATATTGCCAAGCAGGATGCTCTAAGGTGAAAGACATGATACATTTTCCAACAGATTACCCTGTGTATGCAGAGGGATCAATATCTTAAATCCTTAACAGCTGGGAACATGAAAAAAATCCCTTTATATACAGTTTTATTTCCCTAGGCAGGACTGGGCCACAGACACAGATCTCCTCCCTCCCCGTGAGCGCCCCGCATGAGCACGCTGCACCTCCTGAGAGTGCACTGTGTTGATGTGTGTGAGCACCCCTGCGTTGATGTGTGCGAGCACGCTCCACCCCCCTGTGGGCGCACCACACCCCCACAAGCGTGCCACGTCCCTCCCCAACCAGTTCGTGGTTGGGAAAAGGTTGGGGATCTTTGCTTATAGGACCTCTAAATTTGTTAAATAAGCAATGGAAAGATAGACACATTGCCTGCTTCACAATCTGTCCAAGTTAATCTTACAGCTTATTTGAGAATGCTTATTTGATTACTTTATGCATTTCTGATTGTTTATATGTATTTATATTAGATGTCAAATAAACGTTTCTAATTGGTCTCTCCATGTAAAATTTTATGTACGGATGCAAGTCATTTAAAGATGAGTTACAAGCTTTGTCCTTGATAGTTCAACATACAGTTAAATGTTCTTAGCTATGTCCTAAAAGTGTTCATACTTTACCCAGAAATCAAAATCAAAACATTTTAGAGTAAACTGGACAAAATTAAATGGGATTTGTTGATGGGTCTTTGAACTATCCTATTCCCAAAGCTGTTAAAACTTCAGGATCGTGTGCTCAAAGATGTAGTTATTTCTCTGCTTGGAGATGAAGACCCGAGAGTGAGGCACATCGCAGCTACTACCTTAGTAAGGTATTGGTCAAACTGAAGAATTACAATAAACTTGTTTAATAATGCTTGCATAACATTAACTGCTGTAGTGTTACTTGTATTAATCTGTGTATTTCTGGAAAAAGCAAGCATCACTAGAATGTAATTTCAGTTCTGTGATGCAGTAGTTGAAGATAGTCTCTTTTTGCCCTCTGAATCTAGAATATCCACAAATCTGATGTTGTGAGAACTGTGTTGGAGCTTAGGGGAGGATGTTTATGAATAATCTAAATAGCATTTTAGGGGTAATATGCACAACTCCTCAGACACATATTTTGTAGCAGATTTTTGGTGTTAGTTTACCAAGATAATCTGGAAGTTGAGTTAGGGCAACTGAACTTTTCTTATTACCGTATTTTTCGCTCCATAAGACGCACCTTTCCACAAGACGCACCAAATTTTTAGGAGAAGAAAACAGGAAAAAATAATTTGTTTTCTTCTCCTAAAAATTGGTGAGACTTATGGAGAGGTCCATCTTATGGAACACACCCTAGGACCCTTTGGAGGCTCACCCTGCCCCTCCCGGGGGGTCAGAGGGGGTGAAATTGCCAGCTTCTGGGACCTGAGGCTTGGGAAGCTTCAGAAGAGTCCCAGAAGCTGGTGATTTCCCCCCCTCTGGCCCAGCGGGGGGGGCAGGGTGAGCCTCCAAAAGGTCCTAGGTTGGGTTCCAGGACCCTTTAGAGACTCACCCTGCCCACCCGGGGGTCAGAGGGGGTGAAATAACCATTTTCTGGGACTCTTCTGAGGCTTCCCAAGCCTCAAAAGACTACCAGAAATGGGTGATTTTGCCCCCTCTGACCCCCGGACCCTCAGACCCTTGCGACGCTCCCCCCCCCCCGGGGCACCTGGAACCTGGCGATTTCTCTGGTGCTGGCCCCATGTGGGGCTGGGAGGAGCATGGAAAGGGTCCTGGAAGGCTCCCTCAGACCCTTGCCACGCTCCACCCCCCACAGGGCCAGGGGGGGTAAAATCGCCATCTTCTGGGAGTGTTTGGAGGCTCCCCAAGCCTCCAAA